ATTGAGGAGTTTGATTGTGTGAGTCTTCGAGACTGAGAGGGATGGAGAGCAAAGAAGTAGGTCTTCTACATACTGCAGGATCATGGAGGGGCTGAGGTCTAGGGAGGTTATATCCTGGGCCAGGGCCTGTCCAAAGAGGTGAGGGCTATCTTAAAACCCCTGGGGCAGGACAGTCCAGGTTAGTTGGGAAGCCATCCCAGTGTCAGTGTCCTCCCAGATGAATGCAAAGAGGTTGTGAGAGTCAGGATGTAAGGGTATCAAGAAGAAAGCATCCTTAAGGTCTAGGACAGTAAAGTGAGTGGTAGAGGAGGGGTATGAGAGAGAAGGGTATAGGGGTTTGGAATGGCTGAATGAATGGGGATAACTGCCATGTTGATGAGGTGGAGGTCCTGGACTAAAAAGCAGGAGCCATCAGGTTTGAGGACAGGGAAAATGGGAGTATTGTAGTGAAGGCTGAGTGGTGAAGGAGCCAGCTATGCCTCGGGTTAAGGGGAAAGAGGAGGTTGAGGTTGGGTCCTAATTAGGGAATATTCATTTGCTATGTTGGGATCAAAGGCTAGGTGGAGGAGTATGGGGGGGTGGAGGGCTCTGAAGGAACAGCCTTGGTGAGGAGAATTTGATGAAAGGAACAAGAGGCACAAAGGGAGGGGTTAGCATGAAGATCAAAAAAGGCCTGGACATAAGGGAGCTTGGACCTTTTGCAGCTACATTGGTAGAAATTATCTAAATCTCTTAAAATATTGAAGTCTAGGGTTCCTGTGTCTGGCCAAATGGAGTCATTGTCTAGCTTATATTGTGGCCAGGTAGTGGTGCACAGAAACTTTAAGCATTTTAGCCTGATTGTTTCTGAAAGTCCTAGTTGCTTTAGGGACTTGAGAAGACAAGTAAGAGGTGTAAGACCCTCAAGGTTTAGACTGAGCAGCTCCCATAGTGACAGATTATGTTAAAGAAAGAATTGAGCAAGTAGGTAGGAGGAGATAATGAGGACCCTTTCTCCACGGGGAGTGGAGTCAGGGATGGTGGCTAAGATTCCAGGCAGGAAGGCGCAAGATACAAGAAAAAGGAGGGCAGGAAATTTGATTCAAACTGTTTTGGTGAGCAGAGGGGTCTGGAACTTACCAGGAAGAAGCAGCCTCTGCTGAACCAGCCCCTTACATCAACCAGGTCCTGGATCATGAGATTAAGCGGGGGTCTGTTTCCTCTTCTAAACTTATCTTAAAGGAAGCAGCCTGCACAGACATAGCTCTTGCAGCAATCGAGTCATGGATGCAGGGGACTATTTATCTTCTAAAATTATCTGGGAAACAGCTTGTGCTGAGACAGCTCTAAATGCAGCTGCCTGGCCAGTTCCTGTTTTACAAGGGGGCTTCAGGGCCTGTCTTGTGAGGCTTTACTGCACTGGGGGAAGGTCACCTGCAGACCTGGACTCTAACAACAACAAAACAAAAACCCAACATAACAACTTCAAAGAACTTTCCTCCCAGAGTATGATTTTATATTGATTGGTATTCTTTGAGCTGAAAAATAATATAATCCAGGTCAAACCAGTTTCATTCAAAAGCAATGGGGCTGGGAATGTAACTTAGTTGGTAGAATGTTCACCTAACCTAAACAAAGCTGTGATTCAATCCTGAGCATCACATTAAAAACAAGTTTGCTGGTGCCTGCTAGTAATACCAGCATTCAAGAGATCTAGGCAGGAAGGTCAGAAGTTCAAAGTTATCCTCAGTTGCATATCAAGTTTGAGACCAGGCTGGGCAACATAAGACCCTGTCTCAATGAAAGGAGCTGGAAAGATGGCTCAGCAGTTAAGAGCACTGGCTTCTCTTGCAAGGGACCTGGGTTTGGTTCCCAACACCCACATGTCAGCTAACAACCATATGAAACTCCAGTTCCAGTGGATCCACCACCCTCTTCTTGCCTCCCTGGGCATTGCACAAATGGATGTATCTGCATACATGCAGGCAAAACACTCATATACACAAAATAAAAATAAATAATTTCTTTAAAAGTAATGTATTTGTTTTGGGGCTACAGGGAGACCCTGTTTCAAAAAGACAAAAAAATAATAATAATGTGTTTATTATACTGGAAATTCAGGTGTAGATCTAGTTTCAAATACTTCATAATCCTCATAATCCAACATCTCAAGTAAGCAACTTAAGATTCCTTTTGTTGTTAATTTAAATTTTTTTAAACATTTAGTGTGTGTGTTAGTGTGGGAGCACACATGCTTGTGTGGAGGTCAGAGGACAACTTGCAGGAGTCTGTTTTCTCCTTTTACCACACAGGTTCCAGGAATCAGGTCATCAGAATTGGCAGCAGGCACCTTTACCCACTGACCCATCTTATAGCACACACACCCCCTTCTTTAGGACAAGATCTTACTCTGTAATCTAGAACTCGTGGCAGCCCTACTGCCTCAACTTCCCACGTGCTAGGGTTACCGGCCTCAACAACCACTCTCAACATTTTCTGGACCTTAATAAGTTAGTGATATTCTCTCTCATGGTAAATGGACTTTGTCTATGGGACCACATTCTGCACCATCTTAATATCATCTCAATGTCAGAACTTCTCAATGAACAAAATAAAAACCAAGTACAATCTGAATCTAATGATAAGAAAATATCAGACAAACCCAAATTGAAGGACATGCTACAAAATGTAAAATAATTTCAAAAAAAAAAAAAAAGAATTCCACTCAGGAGGCAGAGGCAGGTGGATCTCTGTGAGTTCAAAGCCATCCTGGTCTACATAGTTCCAGGACAGCTAGAGCTACAGGGAGACCCTGTCTCAAAAAGACCAAAAAATAAAAAATAAATTAAAAAACAGATTTAATATCATCAAAGACAAAGAAAAGCTAAGGAAATGTTCCAGACTAAGGGAAATTAGAAGAACATGACATCTAAACTTCCTGTGTTCCTGGATTGGGCCCTAGTTCAATGCAGCTTTTTCTTTTTTTTAAACTTTTTTTTAAATTTTATTTATTATTTTTATTTTATGTGTATGTGTGTATTGCCTGCATGTAGGTAAGTGCACCCTTATCATGCAATGCCTGAGGGGGTCAGAAGAGGCTGTCAGATCCCCTGGGACTGTAGTTATGGACAGTTGTTAGCTGCCATGTGGGTGCTGGGTGCTGGGATTCAAACCCGGGTTTTCTGCAAGAACAACCAGTGCTCTTAACCACTGAGCCATCTCTCCAGCTCCCTCTTTTGGGATCTTTTAACCTTAAACTGCTTAAGCAATTTCTTCCTCCTGTCTCACCATGTACACGGAAGAGAATAATTTCTTAGTAATAATAATTGCTATGACTACTCATTTACAGTTAATATATTGTGTGGAACTTAAAGTTTTCACTTAAGAATCAAACTCACTTGTTTAACCTACATTTGTTTGTTTGTGGAGATGGGGTCTTGTGTAGCCTAGTCTGACTTTGAATTCTTTATTCAGTCAAGGAGGACCTTGAACTCCTGATCCTTCTGTGTCAATCTCCTAAGTGCTGAGATTATAGGTATTTGCCACCTGGATAACCTGTATTCATTCATAACATTAATTATTTTACAAACACACACATACACACACACACACACACACACACAGTGTAAAAGTTTCCTTCTTACTTGTCCTTCAAATTTGAGTTTCTTTCCCAGGGAATGACTGAGTCAGCCATTCTCTCTCACAGCTACATGGCAAATATTGTATGATATGCATTACAGTACTGGAACCAGAATCCTAGTGTTGGACATTTAGCTGACTGTCAATCTTTTCTTTTATGCATAATGAAACAATAATCTTGTACACATCATTCTGTTCATGTCTGAGTGTCTTAGGTCTCTTTTCCCTGAAATAGAGACTGGTGGGGATTCTTGGTCAGTGATTTATTAGGAGAGCACACTAAGAGGTCTGAGGCCAGGGGAGCAGGACACAGGAGACACAGGGGTAAAGCAAAAACTTGACTCCAAGTCTACATTCAGCCTGTTTCTACAGACAGCTCTGAAATCCTAATTATCAAAGCAGAATTTGTGTCTTAAGCAAGAAATCAGATCATGTATGTCCCCAAACAGATAGATGGTCACTGACAAGGCTGACCCTGAGGGAGAGGGAGGCTGGGTAACAGGACGAAGTTCCCAAGCACCTCGGTATCAGGCAGTCCTAATTATCCAAGGGTGAACCCATAGAGAAGGTTCATCACTAGCAGTTCCATAGCTTCTGAGGGGTAGGGATCTGGGTGCAATACCACAGGCTCTGCCATAGTGCACACCACTATAGGGGAATTCCTAGAAGTAAAATTGCTACATGGAGCTAACGTTGCTGGTTGCCTATTCACACAAAATCCACATTCATTCCTCCTAATAGAAGCTTTATTTTTATTTGAAGTGATCATGTACCCAGGTAAACAGACCACCTCCCCGATATCCTTTGTACCTGGGCTTATCATGTGACACTGCTGTGAAATAAAATAAAGGAGATAAAATCAAATCCCTAGGGATAGGGTCTCTTCCAGATTCAAAAAGAAAAGCCCATCCTGTAATCTCATGAGCCAGGAAGATTGCTTCAAGTTGAAGCCATCCTGAGCTACATAGTGAGTATGAGACCAGCATAACTTATGTAAGGAGATCCTGTCTCAAAAAAAAAATGGGGGCCAGGAACGGTGGTGCAAGTCTTTAATCCCAGCACTGGGGAGGGAGAGGTAGGAGGATCTCTGTGAGATCAAGGCCAGTCTTGTCTACATAGCAAGTTCCAGGCCAGGGAAACTTTTTCTCAACAAAAATTAAAATAAACCAAAAAAACAAAAAATGATGCATCTATAAGTATAATCTGTGCCCCTGAAACAGGTAAGTAAGGGAAGGTACATGCATGAAAATCAACATGTTACATTTTATTTTGGTGTATTTGTTTGAGGAAGGGTCTCATGTAGCCCATGCAAGCCTCTAACTAGCAGCGTGGATGTGTTTGGGGTCTGAAGAATTCCCTGAATTGACCACTCAGACACTGAGTCTCAGTTAAAACACAAGCACTTTATTGAAGCCAACCAGCTGCGGACACAGTCTCAGGAGCTGTACTGCAACCTCGAGCTGTGAAAATGAAGGGCTTTTAAGCATAAAAAACATAAAAACCACAAAGCAGGGGATTTCTATAGTAACAGAAAGCAGAAGTACCAGGAAAGGGTTTGAACAATCAAAGGGGATTTCCAGAACCCATAACTTTTGTAGCCATTGTCTACCTGCATTGAGGCAGAACATTCTTTCTCTTCTGCCTTTGACCACAGAATGTTCCAGGAAATGTTTTTGTTCTGCCTGACAGGCAGGGGGTCTGGGGGGGTTACCTGTCTAGGGGATTTCCAGAGTCAGGCATGGGAGGGTCTGAGGGATACTCAGGACAGGCAGGGGGATCTGGGGGGGGTAGCCTCCTTCATTCCCCCCTTTTGTTTTGGAAAGCTTCTTGAATCAAACCATTGATTCATCTGTGTTTTGTAAGTTCTGTGTTATAGTAAGTTCTCATGACCATAAGTTGGACAGTGGAAATTTGTTGCTTGAGAAACTTGACTAGAGCATTAAGGATACAGGGTCCAAAAGTCAACAAAGCCAAAAGAATTAAGAGGGGACCTACCAGAGCAGTAATAAGGGTGGTAAGCCATAGTGACCAGGAGAAGAGGGACTTGAACAAGTTCTGGGAACCCTTTCTAAGCTCTTCTCATTCTAAGAGACTCTGTTTAACCTGAGCCAGGGTATCCTTAATCACACCTGAATGGTTGGCATGAAAACAACGTGTTTCTCCTAGAGCCATACAGAGTCTGCCTTCTTTAAGAAAAAGTAAGTCAAGGCCTCTTCTATTTTGTAGGACTACTTCAGCTAAGGGGTCTACCTGTTGCTCTAAATAGGAAGTAGTGGCATGTAATCTTCTTATATCTTTATCAACCTGTTCACTCAAGATCCTTAAGTTCTGGTCACTTGTGACCCAGGCTGTTCCAATGGCAGCAGACCCAGCTATCCCCATCCCCAAGAGGAGGGGGACTAGAATGACAGTGGCTGCCCTGCAAGGCCAGGAAAGGCCCATATGGTGTCTACCTGCATCTCCCCCATAGTAATATACCTGGGACATGACATGCACCAGGAGAAAAAATTCTTGTCTTCCTATGAAGTAACTGGGATGTAGGCAAGGTGTTAAGCCAAGTGGTTAAACCAAGTAGATTGGGGGGTAGCAAGCAATTGAGTATCCCCTTAGGCCAGGTGTCCTCAGGTAGGGTATAGGGGTGATTACAAATTGCAAGGTAAGGAGAGGTGGCTAAGGGATACTCATTTGACATGAAGCAAGTCCTTTAGTCCTGTATATCTCCTAGGGTGAAAGTGGTTTCTCAGGAGCATGAGGCAGTATCATTCATGGGTACTATTTTTAATTCTTTTCTTCTTGCAGTATGGGCAAAACCTATATAATAGGGTGGTCAGGGATCCAGGCAGAGTCAACAATCCCTGGTCATCTCAGGGCATGTGTTATTCAAATATTGAAAAGTGGACTTTATAGTATTTATAAGAGGCTCCCCCTCTATCTTTCTCCTTCAAAGGTATCGGCCTTGAAATTGGGAGTGTATTTGAGCCAGGGGTCCTCGAACGGGGAGGAGGGAAATCCGATTTAAGCTCTGCCAAAGGCCCTATGGGTCTAGGCAGTATGGTTCTTGGGAATCTTTGAATTGTGAATAAAGTTCCAGGGTCCATACCAGACACATAGGCTTTTAGTCCCCATGTGTGGCCCATGTCCCATTTTTGGTCTACTGCAAAAACATCCCACCTCTTTAGGGTTATAGTAAGTGGGATGCAGGTCCTGGGAACCGAGCAAGACTTATTTTTTTTTCAATTTGATACTAAGGTACGGATCTTATTGTTTAAGGAACATCAGGGCCCAAGTTTCACATCCCCAGTGAGCACAGAAATAACTTCCCTCATCATCACAATCAGTCCCAGTGTTTGCCAGGCATGTGTAGAAGACCATTCCCAAGGCCTTTTCTGCAGCTATGGTGCTGGCTCTACATCCGATAACAAGAAGGGATGTTTCTCCAGATGCTCCTGACATTGCTATTCTTACTGATCCCCTGAATGATCCCCAAAGATACTGCGGGCTACCAATTGTTTTAGGGAGCCCAGCATCAGCCATAAGGAACACAGATCAGTTTTAAATCAGGGAGGTGTAACTTCCATAACAGTTTTTCCTGTTTGTGAATCAGATAATCTCCAGACGTAAGTGTGGGGTTGGTAAACTCCCTGGGGATTAGTCCCAAGGGGTGGAGTTAAGAAGAGTAAAGTCTTAATTACAGTGGGGGAGTAGTAGGTGGGCTGTTTTCTACCAGTCAAAGTTTTAGGGGGTATTCTGGATAGGGTTGGACTGTCCATCTCTTCTGGTCATTCTGGGCAGGATTGAGGTGTGAATGATGTATCCAAGAGCACTGTCCATCCACTTTTAAAGCCATGGGCGTTGTCAGGATCACGGTGTATGGTCTTTTCCATCGAGGGGCCAGGAAATCTTCTGATGTTTTATCCAGTGCCAGAACCAGCTGACCAAGGCAAACAGCACCTGAAAAAGGGAGTGAGGATGAAAGAAAAACAAGAGACAGAGACAGATACTTGGGAGGACTGTCAGTAGAGACTGCAGCCCTGGTTTATTTTAGATCAGCCTTTTTGTAGACCATCAGAAAACCACAGTTTGCTTAGCCGAATTAGCGTCAGCAGCTCTTTTTTCCTACTTCCTCCTGAGGGTCAAGGAACGGTCAAATACTTGTTGTGAATTCAGCCTTTTAACCATCTTCCCTAAAATGTCAACACATTCTTCCTGACTTGGCAGAACAATTCGGTACTTGTGTACAAAGCACACAAACTCTTGAGTCAGGGACAAAGGTCATAAAGTAAACAAGCAAGCCTGCCACAGCTCAGTGTACAAAATGGCTGTACTTATACTAATAGCTCCCAACATCTCCCCCGTTTTTATTTTTTATAACCCCAGATTATGCTATATCCAGGACAGAAGGACCGTGCCTGTCTTAGGTTGTCTTCTGCTAGAGCAAAGCCTTACCTGACATTGGCACGTAGCTTCCATCAGCTATGCCCTGTCTTAGATTGACTTTCTCCCAGAAGACCTTACCCATCTTTGACTACCGGCCTCCATTAGGGGAGGGAGTGCAATCTCATATCATGCAGCCTTGACTTGCTGCAAGGATTTCATAAATAACTTTACTGCCACTGGAAGAAAACAAAGACATAGAAGGCAAAGCATGCTAAGTCCCACTAAACCATTCACAATGGAAGTGATAGAGGACCACAATGGTAAGGTGGCTCTCACCCTTTTTAGAATATCTGTCACTGCTTTTGTTGCATCAAACTCAAGAGATTTAGTATTCCCGAGATTCAAAATTTCCTGATGTAACATGATCAAATCTAAAGATATATTTTCATGAAGCCATATTCCATGCAGGTGCGCCTTGATTTTGTCCCATTCATATACACTACTATTATATATTTTTAAGGTTACACAGATCCACTCCTAACTTGCATGACAGGACAAATGAGTTCTTATTTTTAATCCTTGAATTTCATCCCCTAAATACTGGACAATTTCATATAGGGCATTTAGCTTATGTCCTAACCTATTATCTATGTCTTCTTGTGTTCCTAATGCTAAAGTAACATTTTCAGATAATTGATTAACATAAGTAGTGGTCTCCACCCCTTGGGAGAGAGCCACTGCAGCAGTTGTAGCAGATGCCAAAAAGGCAATTAAAGCAGCAATCCCTGCAATGATCAATCCCACAGCTCTCTGTAATCTCTCTAAGGCCTTCTCCATTTCTTGTAGCACTTGCAGCCCTTTTTCGCTATACCAAGGACCTGATACATTAACGGGAATCATAACAAAAGAGGGTTGTCTATGAAACATAACTTGAGTTGCATTAGGCAATACAGAAATACAATTAGTAAGGTTTCTCCCAACACAGCTAATATTAAACACCCTATCAGCATTATTAATACTAATATTAATAACCCCTACCAATAGTACAAAAGGCAAACTAACACATGCCGTGATTGAGCCTTTTAAAGGGCACCCAGACGTTGTTCTTGTCCTTGAATTAAAACAATTAGATAATCCTTCTGTGCAATTATACCCAGATCCCTGGCCCTCTATGTGGCCCAAGGCAGCAGCTAATTTCCAAATGTATGTTTGCTGATACTCCAAATCAGACCACCCCAATCCTGCTGCCAAACCCTTACTCCAATCCTCTTCTTCTGTCTGAGGGCTCTCCACTGTACCTCCCTGCTGATTCCCTGACCAATCTAAAATAAACCTATCACTACCAATTACATTATATCTCAAAGCTATTTTTCCCAGGCACCGCATCCATAATAAGGTTTTATTGCTAATCTTATACTCATGTCCACAGGGTAGAAATGCTTGTGGAGAATTTTTTTCCCTCTACTCTATTACCTCTTGGCAGTAGCACTTTGGAATTGGTACAGCATCCACCTCTTCCAAAAAGCACATGGTCATCTACTTGTACACACCCGGACTTATCAGGTAATATCTCCCTGAAAAGCAAGCACGCGCCATCTGCTTCCTGTCACCAGGCGGAAGCGTGGCCGTGGACAGGGATTCTAACAAAGCCTGGGTAAAAGAGGTAGTGGGACCATACTGAACACAAACGGTTTTTAGCTCCTTAAGCTGCTTAAATGGCATGGGTGCATGACACCATACCCTGTTTCCCTGCTGATCAACTTGCTCCATAACTGGAAAGACTTGAAATCCATGCACTGACTCTCCTTGCTCTACTGCGGCCCCAATGGCCTGTTGTAGCGGGGATTGCATGGTCCTAAGTGGGTACCAGATTCCTGCCAAAGGCTTCTGAACCATGGCAATCATGGGAGGCACAACAACCTTCAGTGGCCTGGTAGAAGGAGGATCTAATCCTTCTATGATAGTAGGTGTTGGGTATTCCTAGCTCTTTCCTCCTTGTCATCTAACATTTCCTTCTTCAAAGCCTCTAATTGCACCCTTAATTGCTCAATTTCCCCATGATAGTTAGGCTTCTCAGACAAAGCAATTAGAGGTGGATATTTTTCCTGATCATGCTTAACTGCCTCCTCTCCTAGGTCAAACTCCTCTTCAGGGCCAAGAGGTCCCTCTTCTGGCCCCAGACAGGGGTCTTCATAAGAGGGTGGCAAGGCTAATGGAGCTGGCTCTGGCAGAGCGGAAGGTTTGGTTTCACTTTTATCCAGGCCGTCGCTTATCAGATTCTCCTTTTTAGTCTCAGCGAATGTTCCTTCCTTTGCCTTCTCCGCCTCATGCCATGGATCAAGACTATCTTGACCAAAGCCCACAATGTAAAAGCATCTATGGGAACTTTGGAAGGACCCTCCACATCATAGTAATCCTGCATTCTCTCTCCAACCTGTAGCCACACATCTAAACTCACTGTACCTTGTTCAGGAAACCAAGGACAAACCTTTTCTACAAAGTCTAAAAAATTCACAAGTTGCTTATGTTCCACTTTTGCTCCTAGGACCTGAAGCATATTCTTTAACATATGTATAAAGAGCAAGTGACTATTTTCTTGCCCCATCTTCTCCCAAGATAAATGCTTACTGCTCCCCAATAGTACCGAGTGCACTCACCTAGTTTCTTCAGAGGTGTCCTTCACTTCCCTGTTTTTCAGGTCCCTGTTTGGGCACCACCTGCTGGAAGCAGCCGACCAAGGTGAACTGCACCTGAAAAGGGGAGTGAGGATGAAAGAAAAAAAAGAGACAGAAATAGATACTTGGGAGGACTGTCAGTAGAGACTGCAGCCCCAGTTTATTTTAGCCCAGCCTTTTTATACAGTAGAACATCAGATAACCACAGTTTTGCTTAGCCGAATTAGTGTCAGCAGCTCTTTTTTCCTACTTCCTCCTGAGGGTCAAGGAACGGTCAAATACTTGTGCATTCAACCATATAACCATCTTCCCTAAAATTTCAACACATTCTTCCTGACTTGGCAGAACAATTAGGTACTTGCGTGCAAAACACAGAAACTCTTGAGTCAAGGCAAAAGGTCATAAACTAAACAAGCAAGCCTGCCACAGCTCAGTGTACAAAATGGCTGTGCTTATATTAATGGCTCCCTACAATCCAGACAATGTCACCAGGTCTGTAAGGATGAGGAGTGACCAGGGGCAGTTTGTGCATATGCCAGATCAAAGGGTAGAGATGCTTTTGTATCGCCTGCAAGGCCCTAACCGACTGGAAGATTTCATGATTAGATATTTCAGCCAATATTTCTGACCTTGATCTCAGGACCAGGGGAGAGGGTCTCCCAAAGAGAATTTCAAAAGGAGCAATTCCTTGGATATAAGGGGAGTTTTTTACCCTAAGGAGGGCAAAAGGGAGGAGAATCACCCAGTCTGCACCAGATTCTAGGGTTAATTTAGTCAAGGTCTCCTTAATGGTCCAATTCATTCTCTCTACCTGTCCTGAACTGTGGGTGTGGTATGCACAATGTAGTTTCCAATTTTGTCCCAGGGCCTTCACTAAGGCCTGTATTACCTGAGAGATGAACTCTGGTCCATTGTCAGACCCCAACATTAAGGGTACACAAAACCTGGAAATGAGTTCATCCAATAACTTCTTGGCAACTGTGGTTGCCATTTCCTTTTGGGGGAAAGGCTTCTACCCATCCTGAAAAAGTATCTACAAAAACCAGTAAATATTTTTATCCAAACCAGCCTGACTTTATCTCAGTGAAGTCTACTTCCCAGTGGACTCTGGGGGCAGTCCCTCTTTCACATTTTCCTGAAGATTTATCATTTTGGGGGGTAGCCATTAGTCATCTGGCATGCCATGCATCTGGAGGTGATGTCCTGTATAGTAGCTGTTGAGGAAGGAGACTGGAAGCATCTGGTTAGTAATAACCTGATATTTTCTCTTCCCATGTGGGTTCCTTCATGAAGTTGGTGAACTAGCATTTCCCCCAGGTGGTGGGGGAGGATGACCTTGCCATCTGGAGTGAGTCTCCATCCTGAGGAGACATACTCATTTGAAATTTTTTAGAAATATGTGTCATCCTCTTCTGTGTATGAAGGCTTTTCAGGTAACAAGTTTTGGCAGGGCTAGGAGCACAGGTTCACAAGGGGATTCAGCTACTTCCTTGGCAACTTGATCTGCCTTTTGATTTCCTTGGGCCTCAGGAGTGTTATTCTTTTGGTGTCCTGGGAAGTGAATAACTGCCACTCTTTTGGGCATCCATATGACTCTTAGAAAATCAATGATCTCTCGTTTGCTTTTGATAATCTTTCCTTCTGATGTCAGGAGGCCTCTTTATCTATAGATGGTTCTATGCACAGGAACAGTGGCAAAAGCATACCTACTGTCTGTGTAAATGTTGACAGTCTTACCCTCTCCCAGTCTTAGTGCCTGAATCAAGGCTATCAGTTCAGCCTTTTGTGCAGAGGTTCCTTTTAGCAGGGCTTCCACCCATAGGACATCCTCCTTGGTGACAACTGTCACCCCATCTTTTATGTAACTACTCCTGTCTGTGAACATCATCACGTCAGGGCTCTTCCATGGTATGCCACTGAGATCAGGTCGGCTTCCCTGGACATGTTGCAGCAGTTCGGAGTAGTCGTGATGGAGTGTCTCAGACTCTGTTTCAGGGAGCAGGGATGCAGGGTTTAAGGCACTGGTCACCATATATGTCAGGCAAGGCACATCTAGTAGGAGACACTGGTGATGAACTAATCTTGAATTTGTGAGCCAGCGATCAGGCAGGGCCCTCAGTACCCCTTCAATAGCATGGGAAGTAATCACAATCAGTTGTTGCCCCAAGGTGAGCTTGTCAGCATCCTTAACTAGGACTGCGGTGGCTGCTATAATCCAGACAGGCTGGCCATCCAGCTGCTACTGAGTCTAATTTCTTTGAGAGGTAGTCTATTGGTTTCTTCCAGGGGCCCAAAGTCTGAGCAAGTACTCCCTTTGCTACACCTAGCCATTCATCTACATAGAGGTAGAAGGGCCTCCAGACATTTGGCAGCACTAGGGCTGGTGCAGAAGTGAGGGCCATTTTCAGGTTGTCAAAGACCTGCTGTTGCTCATCTCCCCAGGAGAATGCTGAGGGTTCCCCTCCCCCTTGTTACCTCATATAGAGACTAGGCCAGTTCTGCAAAACCAGGTATCCATGGCAACAATATCCAGCTTACCCCAGGATTCTCTGACTTGCCTCTGCCTCTGGGGAACAGGGATGTCCAGGATAGCCTTTTTCCTCGCAGAGGAGACCCTGCACATACCCCTTCCAACTGAAACCCCAGATACTGTACCTCCTTCTCATGGCCTTTTTAGCTGACACTTTGTACCCCAGACATTGAAGTTCCTTCAGTAAGTCTTCTGTAGCCTCTAGGCAAGAAGGGTGGTCAGAGGTGGTGAGGGGAAAATCATCAACATATTGCAGAAGAGAAACTTGGGGGTGGGCAGTTCGGAACTCTCAGAGGACTTCATGCAAGGCCTCATCAAAGGTGGTGGAGGAGTTCTTAAACCCTTGCAGAAGCCTAGTCCACATCAGTTGGCCACTGAACTCTTCTTCAGGATCTTGCCATTTGAAGGCAAAGATGGGTTGGCTCCCCTTGTCCAAGGGTATACTAAGGCATCCTTCAAATCCAGGGTGGTATAAATCATCCTGTCAGGGGCCAGGGAGCTCAGGAAAGTGTATGAATTAGGCACAGTGGGGTGTATGTCCATGACTCTCTTATTTACCTCTCTCAGATCCTGTACAGGTCTATAGGCATTAGTTCCTGCTTTCTTCACGGGGAGTAGGGTGGTTTTCCAAGGGGACTGACAGGGGATCAAAATGCCAGATTCCTGGAGTCTTTTTAGGTGGATCCGCATAGAGGCATGTACTTCAAGAGATATCGAGTATTGTTGTACCCGGACTGGGCTGGCAAAGGCCACCAGAGAGATCACCACAGGTGGTCAGTGGGCTGCGAATCCTGGGGGGTTACCCTCAGCCCAGACCTGAGTGATTGCTTGTATCAACTTAGCAGTTAGGGGTGTCAATTGGTCCAGAGGGGGCCCCTCATGGAGACAGTGTTAGTTCTCAGGGTAAGAATAAAATCCGGTGGTTTCTACATTAACCTTATCTTTGTTAAAATGAATTGAGACCCCAAGTTTACTTAGCAAGTCTCTGCCCAGTAGTGGGTAGGGAGAGTCAGGAATAACCATGAAGGAATGATGAATCTGCCCTGTGCACAAATTGACAGTTCTCTGAGTGGTCCAAGGATAAGAGTGGCTACCTGCAACTCCTTGAATGTAGGTGTGCTGCCGTGAGGCCAGGGGGCCAAGGGGCTTCTTTAGAACCAAGAAGGTGGCTCCAGTATCGACCAAAAAGTCAATAGGCCTCCCTCCCACTTTTAGGGTTAGCCAGGGCTCGGGGAGGGGAGACAAGCCCCAACCACCTCAGTTATTTAATTCAAGTACATTTTGAGCTCCTTTATAACATCGAGGGCAATCCCAAATCCAGTGTCCCATCTCCTTGCAGTAGGCACATTGGTTTCTCTTGAAAGGGCTGTTTTGGGGAGGTGGTCCAATCTACCAGTTCTGCTTCCCCGGAGGATATTTCCTTGGGGGGTGCTCTCCTTCTCTTAGTGCCAAAGATCAAGCCAGTTTTCAATTGTGACATTCCTCATGTTCTTCCTGGGTCTCACAGTTATTAAAAACTTTTGGGGCTATTTCAAGCAATTCAGAGAGACTCTTATCTTTGAAACCATCCTGCTTCTGTAATTTTTGTGGACATCAGGTGCTGACTGAGTCACAAAGGTTGTGTTTTTGTCTTGTTGGTTCTCTAGTGCCTCAGGGTCAATAGGAGTGTAGGCTCTATAAGCCTCCATAAGCCTTTCCAGAAACTGTGCTGGAGCTTTTGTCTGTCCCTCTAAAACCTGACTGACTTTTGACAAATTTGTAGGGTTTTTGGCAGCAGCCTGGAGACCCCCCATAAGAATCTGGAGATAGAGTTTGAGTGCTTCCCTACCTTCAGAGGTGTTGGGGTCCCATCTGGGGCATTGTCAAGGAAGGGCATCTTCAATCTCCATTGGATCCTCAGTGAATCGGCCGTTCTCAGATGGCACCCATTTCCAGGCCTCTGAGAGGATCCAGGTATGTTCCTCAGTGGAGAAGACAGTGAGGAGGAGTTGATGGACATCATCCCATGTGTGTTGATGGGTAAGGAAAATCATCTCCAACAACCCAATTAAGGCTTGTGGTTTTTCAGAGAAAGGGGGCTTTTGCAATTTCCAATTATAAAGATAACTAGTTGAGAAGGGAGTATAAACAAGAAAACTATGGCCAGAAGAGTCCTTCAGGGCCATAGCACAGAGGGGAAGGATGGCAGGAGTTGCCTCAGGCCTGTAGGGCTGGACTGAATGCTTGTGGGGAGGGGTGAGGAGTGGAGGAGTGATTGGGGGAGGAGGAGAGGCTGGGGAAGAAGAAGGAGCAGTTGGGGAATGTGAGTAAGGAGGAGGGTCCAAGAGAGAGTCCTCAGTTGAAGGGGGGAGGACAGGAGGTGGTTGAGACCAGGGAGGAGTCCATTGAGGACCGAGACAAGAGGGAGGGTTTTGAGGGAGAAGGAGGTAAATAGGGTCTCAACCATTTGGGAGGTTTGTCCAAAAGGTAAAAGTAAGCCAGGACATAAGGAACCTGATCAGGGTGTCCTGGGCTTCCAAAGATCATGGCCTGAAGAGAAGAAAGCTTGTTAATCTTAAAGGACCCAGTAGAGGGCCATCCTACATCAAAGGATGGCCTTTCAAAG